ACTTTAATTACGTTTTCTTGCCCTGATGAAGAAGGGAGTTGGACTGGATGGCCTTAAGTATTTTCTGTTGGTCATGGGGGTTCTCTGTGGAAATTTGCCCCAATTCTGTCGTTCGTGTGGTTCAGAATGCTCTTTGATTGTAGGTGAACTGTGAATCCCAGTGACTACAACTCCCAAATGTCAAGGACTATTTCCCCCAAACTCCATCTGTGTTGATATTTGGGCATACTGAGTGCTTGTGCCAAGTTTGGTCCAGATCCATCATTGTTTGAGTCCACAGTGTTCTCTGGATATAGGTGAACTACAACTCCCAAACTCAAGGTCAATGCCCACCAAACCCTTCCAGTATTTTCAGTTGGTCATGGGAGTCCTGTATGCCATGTTTGATTCAATTCCATCATTGGTGGAGTTCAGAATGCTCTTTGATTATAGGTGAACTATAAATCCCAGCAACTACAACTCCCAAATGACAAAATCATAAATTTTTGAGTGATGGTCACTCCTTGTGTTGTGAGACGTTTTGTTGCCAAATTTGGTGTGATTTCGTTCATTGGTTGTTTTGTTTTTAAGCTACTCATTATGCACAGAGCATTTTTATATATATAGATAGAATAGATAGAGAGATGAAAAAAGTTTAGACGATGGACCAAGTTAACAAGTATTTAAACAGGAATTACTAACACATTAACAAACAAAATTATCTCTAAGAAATATAAATGAAATGTTATTATTAAAAGTAAGGGAAAATAGAAAATTTAATGTATAAGTAAAGTGACAAAATAACTAGAAGAAATACTAATGGTATTGGCCCAGAGGAGAAGATAAGAAAAAGGTGGGCCAATATAAGAAGATCAACAAGAAAGACAAATGGAATAAAAAAGGGGGGAAATCTTTTTCCTAAACAAAAAATATTGTGAATGGAATTGCTTAAAAAAATAGAAATGTGTTTAATAACCCTCCTTCCTCATTCTTGGATGTACATTACTTATGGTTAGACCTAACTTACTAACACAACTCCACAATCAACTTATTATACTTTCCTTGGCCTTTCCCCCCACTCTTATGGTATAAAAGTGTGAAAATGAAATAAGAAGTGTATATATATGTATATATATATAGAGAGAGAGATTGAGAAGAGAGAGAGAGAGAGAGAATGGTCCAATTAATCCTCTTGATGATAAACCAGACTACTGTAACTCCTGGTAAATTAACGTAATGTTCCACAGTAACATATCAAATCCCCAATAGGTGCAATTGTGCCAATTAATCGAACTATTTAATTTGAATGGAGCCTCATCACTCCACACAATCTTTGTTGGAAAGTGTGCTGTTCAAACTTATCTCTAATTTGACTCATGGTAAGTCTTTGAAACCCAAATTTGCAGACTCCAAATTGGGAGGGATAGCCAATACTCCAGAGGACAGGAGCAGGATTCAAAACGATCTTGAGAGATTAGAGAGATGATTGGCCAAAACTAACAAAACGAAGGGACAAATGCAAGATACTCCACTTAGGCGGAAAAAACTAAATGCAAAGATACAGAATGGGGGATGCATGGCTTGAGAGCAGTACTTGTGAAAAAGATCTTGGAGTCCTCGTGGACAACAGGTCAAACATGAGCCAACAATGGGATGTGGTGGCAAAAAAAGCCAATGGGATTTTGGCCTGCATCAATAGGAGCATAGTGTCTAGATCAGGGGTCCACAAACTTTTTAAACAGAGGGCCAGGTCACAGTCCCTCAAACTGTTGGAGGGCCAGATTATAATTTGGAAAAAAAATGAATGCATGTTGCACGTATCTTATTTGTAGCGTAAAAAACACTTTAAAACAATACAATAATTAAAATGAGGAACAATGTTAACAAATATAAACTTATTAGTATTTCAATGGGAAATGTGGGCCTGCTTTTGGCTGATGAGATAGGATTGTTGTTGTTATGTGATTTCAAGTCGTTTCAGACTTAGGTTGACCCTGAGCGGGGCCGGGTAAATGACCTTGGAGGGCCGCATCTGGCCCCCGGGCCTTAGTTTGAGGACCCCTGGTATATCTTAGGAAGTAATGCTACCCCTCTATTCTGCTTTGGTTAGACCACATCTGGAATATTGTGTCCAATTCTGGACACCACAATTCAAGAGAGATATTGATAAGCTGGAATGTGTTAGAGGAGGGTGACTAAAATGATCAAGGGTCTGGAGAACAAGCCCTATGAGGAGCGGCTTAAGGAGCTGGGCATGTTTAGCCTGAAGAAGAGAAGGCTGAGAGGAGTCATGTATAAATATGTGAGAGGAAGTCATAGAGAGGAGGGAGCAAGCTTGTTTTCTGCTGCCCTGGAGACTAGGACGCGGAACAATGGCTTCAAACTACAAGAAAGGAGATTCCAGAGTGTTGATTTTGCCCAGGGGCGCTCTTGAGGCACTCTTGGGGGAAAATAGAACTTGACATATGCAAGTTGTAGTTACTGGGATGTATAGTTCACCTACAATCAAAGAGCATTCTGAACTCCACCAATGATGGAATTGAACCAAATATGGCACACAGAACTCCCACGATGAACAGAAAATATATATCAGTGATTGGTTTGGGGGGGGGGCAAACTACGGTTTTCTTACCGTTGAAAATTACCTATGGCCGCCTCTGCCTATTAGGCAGGATTATTCAACAATTACACAAAAGCTGAACTTGGTATGAGGAAGAACTTCCTGACTGTGAGATTCAGCAGTGGAACTCTCCCCGGAGTGTGGTGGGGCTCCTTCTTTGGAAGCTTTTAAACAGAGGCTGGATGGCCATCTGACAGGGGGGATTTGAATGCAATATTCCTGCTTCTTGGCAGGGGGTTGGACTGGATGGCCCATGAGGTCTCTTCCAAAACTATGCCATTTATTTTCCGAGCCCAATTTAAGGTGCAGGTGCTTACCTACAAACCCTGAACGGTTTGGGACCACCCTACCTGCGTGACCGTATCACTGTCTACGAACCCACGGATCTAAAGGGCCATTTTCTTGTGATTCCGCCTGCGTCGCAGGCGCGTTTGGTGGGGACGCGAGACAGGGCCTTTTCTGTGGTGGCCCCCCGACTCTGGAACACCCTCCCCAAAGATCTTAGACAGGCCCCTACTTTGGCAGTCTTTAGGAAGAACCTGAAGACCTGGCTGTTCTGATGTGCCTTTCCAGAATAGGAAAACTCCAACAAGTTCCAGAAGCACTTTAGTAGTAATTAAGATTGCCGGCACACTGCACTTACCCATAATCCTACATATCACCTGTCACATGAGCACTTTTAATTCTGTACCCATTACTCCGGCCCGGCCCACTTTTATTGTGTCTCAGTGTATTGTTTTATTGTTTGCTGTTTTAATATTGCTTTAACTGTTTCTGATTTGCTCTAGGTTGTGTATTGTTATGTTGTGTTTTTGAGGCCTTGGCCTTTGTAAGCTGCTTCGAGTCCTTCGGGAGATGCTAGCGGGGTACACATAAAGTTAATAATAATAATAATAATAATAATAATAATAATAATTCTCCTAAACTGTTTTTGCACTTCAACTACTTTTGCACACATCCAGTGGCATTTTACAATGAAGCTTAGTCTGACTTCCATTATTAATTCCAACGGGTTTAACTGAGGGGGGGAAAAACATATATTGAGTTAAATGTATTGTCGAAGGCTTTCATGGCTGGAATCACTAGGTTCTGTAGGTTTTTTCGGGCTATATGAGCCATGCCTCTAGAACAGTGGTTCTCAACCTTCCTAATGCCGTGACCCCTTAATACAGTACCTCATGTTGTGGTGACCCCCAACCATAATATTATTTTTGTTGCTACTTTATAACAGTCATTTTACTACTGTTATAAATCATAATGTAAATATCTATGCAGGATGCATTTTCATTCACTGGACCAAACTGGGCACAAATACCCAATACACCCAAATGTGAATGCTAGTGGGGTTGGGGGAAGATTGATTTTGTAATTTGGGAGTTGTAGTTGCTGGGATTTATAGTTCACTTATAATTAAAGAGCATTCTGAACTCACCAGCGATGGATTTGAACCAAACTTGGCTCCCATGACCAATGGAAAACACTGGAAGGGTTTGATGGGCATTGACCTTGAGTTTGGGAGTTGTAGTTCACCTATATCCAGAGAGCACTGTGGACTCATGCAATGGTGGATCTGGACCAAACTTGGCACGAATACTCAATATGCCCAAATGTGAACACTGGTGGAGTCTGGGGAAAATAGATCTTGACATTTGGGAGTTGTAGTTGCTGGGATTTATAGTTCATTACAATCAAAGAACATTCTGAACTCCACCAACGATAGAATTGGCTCAAACTTCCCACATGGAATCCCTATGACCATCAGAAAATGCTGTGTTTTCTTGTGGTCTTTGGTGACCCCTCTGACACCCCCTCGCGACCCCCTCAGGGGTCCCGACCCCCAGGTTGAGAAACACTGTTCTAGAGGCATTTCTCCTTGGATATTGAGTTATCCACTTCTAAAGCGTGTATACATTTTTGGGATACCCTGTATTTGCAGAGGACTCTGCAGAAGAGGCTTCAGCTGGACTTCATAAAAAGGAAACTCAACATGTTTCCCAAGCCTGGATTTGTGGTCAGGAAATGTTAGATGTTTAGATCTATTGTATTATATAGCTATCTAGCAGGCATGGGCATACTTCGGCCCTCCAGGTGTCTTGGACTTCTACCAGATGTTAGGAATTGTGGGCGTTGAAGTCCAAAACACCCGGAGGGCCGAAGTGTGCCCATGCCTGCGAGATACTGCAGAGACAAATGTCTCAGGCCGAAAGCGGTCTCAGTGGGAAAGTTTAAGATGCCCTGATCTAGAAGACAAAGGGGCACTGGACTGTCTGTCTGTCTGTGGGATGCCCCAACACCCCACAAGACGCTCCCCTCCCCGTCTTTCGAAGGGCCCGGATCAAGGGGGCCCTTTAAGGCACGAGCTTAAAGCCACGCAGTCTCCGTTTCCGAGCCCAGGAGGCTGGCTGGCAGGCAGGCAGACCCCGCCCACCCCGGCTCCTTTGGCGCGCGCCGCCCCCTCGGGGACCCTAGACGTCGAGCACGTGGTTGAGATAGGAGATGTAGCAGATGGCCAGGCGCAGGATCTCGATCTTGGAGAGCTTTTTGTCTGGCGGGAGCGTGGGGAGCAGCTTGCGCAGCTCGGCGAAAGCCAGGTTGAAGGCCTCCACGCGGATGCGCTCGCGCGTGGCGTGGGCCGAGCGGTATTTGGCCGTGGCCCGGCGGCGGCGGCGCTTCTCCTCGCGGCTCAGCGCCTGCAGGGGCGGCGCTGGAGGGTGCTGGGGGCCCGGCCGGCCTCCTCCGCCCCCTCCGGGGCCCTCGCCCTCGTCGAGCGCCTCCAAGTCCGAGGCGCAGCAGCTCCTCAGGCCCTTGGCCTCCAGGGACTCCGGGTCCGAGGGCGCCGAGGACGGGTGGTCCGAGTCCAGGGCCTGGTCCGGGCTCAGCATCATCTGCAAGGGAGGCACCCGTCAATCAATCAATCCATCCATCAATCAATCAATCAGCCAACCCCTCTGAGTCAGGAAGAGCGGGAGAGGGTTTAGGCTCTCAATGGAGGGGAAAAGGGGTCCCAAAGCACCCCAGGTCAAAGGAGGGAAGGAGACCCCTCTCGAGAGTAGCAAACCCGTGCCTTGTAGCAGCCCAACCAAACAACATTGTTATCTTGCTTTATACCTCGCTTTTTCTCTCAACGAGCATGCTGAGAACAGCCGCCTCTCAAGAGCAGCAAACCCGTTCATTACCGCAGCCCAACAAAACAAAACTATTACATTATTATTATTAACTAGCTGTACCCACCACGTGTTGCTGTGGCCAACCTTCCCTCCTTCTTTCTCTCCTTTTTTCTTTCCTTTCTCTTTTCTTTCCTCTTTCATCCCTCTCTCCTTCCTTCTCCTTTTCCTTTCCTTCCTTCCTCTTCCTTCTTCTTTCTCCTTTCTCTTCCTCTTCTTTCTTCCTCCTTCTTCTCCTCCCTCCTTCTCTCCCTTCTTCTCTTCTTTCTCCCCTTCTCTTACCCTTCTTTCTTCCTTCTCCTTCCCTTTCTTCTCTCCTTCTTTCTTTCCTTCCTTTTCTACCTCTTTCTTCTTCCTCCTTCCTTTCCTCTTTCCTTCCTTCCTTCTCTCCTTTCTTCTTCTCTTCTTCTTTTCCTTCCCCTCTCTCCCTCTCTTTCTCCTTCTTTACCTCTTTTCTTCCTTCTCCTTCCTCTTCTTCTTCTTCTCTCCCTCTCCTTCCCCTCCTTCCTTCCCTTTTCTTTCCTTTTTTTCTTCCTCCTTTCTCACCTTCCTTTCTCTCCTCCCTCCTTTTCACCCTTTTTCCTCCTTCTCTCCTCTTCTTCCTTCTTCTATCCTCCTCCTTTCTTCTCTCCCTTCTTCTTTCTCCTCCCTCCTTTCCTCCTTTCTTCCTTTCTCTCTTTTCCCCTTCTTCCTTTTCTCCCCTTCTTCCATTCCCTCTTCCTCTTCTTCCTTCCTCTCTCTTCCTTCCTTCCTCTTCCTTCTTTCTTTTTTTTTCTTTCCTTCCTTCTCCTTTCTTTTATTTCCCCTTATTACGCCTAGTGGTGTGTGTGTGTGGTGTGTGTGTGTAGAAAAAACACAGCAGAAGGAACTAAGGGAAAGAAAAAAAACCAAACTCCTGACATGTAATCTCATCAAACCATAGATATAGATAGATAGATAGATAGATAGATAGATAGATAGATAGAGAGATAGATAGATAGAAGAAGAAGGAAGGAAGAGAAGGGAGAGAAAGGGGGAAGAAAGAAGGGTAGAGAAGGAAGAGGGAAGGAGAAGAAGGAAGGAAGAGGAGGAAAGGAAGGAGGGAAGGAAGGAAAGAAGAAGGGTAGAGAAGGAAGAAAGAAGGAGAGAAAGAGGAGGAAGGAAAGAAGGAAAGAAAGAAGGAGAGGGGAGGAGGGAGGAGAGAAGGAAGGAAGAGAAGGAAAGAAGGAAGAGAAAGAAGGAAGGAAGGAGAGAAGAAGGAAGGAAGGAGAGAAGAGGAGAAGAGAGAAGGAAGGAAGGAAGAAAAGGGGGGAAGGAAGGAGGGAAGGAGAGAAGGAAGGAAGGAAAGAAAGAAGGGTAGAGAAGGAAGGAGAGAAGGAAAACACCGCAGAAGGAACTTAAAAAGCAAAAAAAAACCCAAAACATTACAACGCAAGCGCAAAACCATATATATGTAATGTTTTGGGGGTTTGGTTTATTATTTGTGTGTGTGTATGTGTATATATATATATATATTATATATATATATATATATATATATATATATATATATATATATATATATAAGATATTGCGCTTGCGGTGTAATGTTTGTAATGTTGTAATGTTTTGGGGTTTTTTTGCTTTTTGAGTCTCTTCTGCTGTGTTTTTCAGTGTTTCTATGAGTGATGGTCACTCGTTGGCCTGAGAGGTGCCTTGTGTCCAAATTTGGTGTCAATTCGTCCAGTGGTTTTTGAGTTCTGTTAATCCCACAAACGAACATTACATTTTTATTTATATAGATAAGAATGTAATCGTTTTGTTTGGTTTATTTATACCCCGCTTTTTTCTCTCCCTTAAGGAGACCCAACATTTTTTGGGCTCTTGCTGTTTGAAGCCTGTTCCTGGGCTTATTTGGGGGCATTGATTCAGGAAACTGCATAAGGTTATGATCCTGGTTTCCTGTGGGCGAGCAGACGGGGACTGGTGGGTGCCATATGTTTTATATAGCTCCAAAATATACCCAGAAATATAGCCTGGTTCAAATACACCCAAGAAATAGGGCTAACGTTTGAGAGGCACCGAAATGCGTCCTGCGGTTGTTACTCAGCTTTCTTTTCACTCCGCCTTCCTTCCCCCGAGGCCTCCAATGCCAGGGCAACCTTAAGGTTCCCTTCGACAGCCTTGCAATTACAAGCGGTCCCTTGAAGGCAACCTTAAGGCTATGCAAGCCCACCCCCACCCCCTCCTCCCGCCAGAGGGACTCACCAGAACCTGACGCAACCGGATAAACATGTAAAAACAAAGCCAAACACTCACAAAAAAACAGAGCAATGTTTTTGTCACGGATGTAAAGGGAAAATACAAGGCATACTATTATTTCATCAGTACAAGGAACACCGTTATTTGGAAAGAAGTGACAAGTGGAGTGCCGCAGGGTTGCGTCCTGGGCCCGGTCCTGTTCAACATCTTTATTAATGACTTAGATGAAGGGCTAGAAGGCATGATCATCAAGTTTGCAGACGACACCAAATTGGGAGGGATAGCCAATACAGAGGACAGGAGCAGGATTCAAAACGATCTTGACAGATTAGAGAGATGGGCCAAAACTAACAAAATGAAGTTCAACAGTGACAAATGCAAGATACTCCACTTTGGCAGAAAAAATGAAATGCAAAGATACAGAATGGGGGACAATGCCTGGCTCGAGAGCAGAACGTGTGAAAAAGATCTTGGAGTCCTCGTGGACAACAAGTTAAACATGAGCAACAATGTGATGTGGCGGCAAAAAAAGCCAATGGGATTTTGGCCTGCATCAATAGGAGCATAGTGTCTAGATCTAGGGAAGTAATGCTACCCCTCTATTCTGCTTGGTTAGACCACACCTGGAATATTGTGTCCAATTCTGGGCACCACAATTCAAGAGAGATATTGACAAGCTGGAATGTGCCCAGAGGAGGGCGACTAAAATGATCAAGGGTCTGGAGAACAAGCCCTATGAGGAGCGGCTTAAGGAGCTGGGCATGTTTAGCCTGAAGAAGAGAAGGCTGAGAGGAGATATGACAGCCATGTATAAATATGTGAGAGGAAGCCACAGGGAGGAGGGAGCAAGCTTGTTTTCTGCTTCCTTGGAGACTAGGACGCGGAACAATGGCTTCAAACTACAAGAGAGGAGATTCCATCTGAACATGAGGAAGAACTTCCTGACTGTGAGATCCGTTCAGCAGTGGAACTCTCTGCCCCGGAGTGTGGTGGAGGCTCCTTCTTTGGAAGCTTTTAAACAGAGGTTGGATGGCCATCTGTCAGGGGTGCTTTGAATGCAATATTCCTGCTTCTTGGCAGGGGGTTGGACTGGATGGCCCATGAGGTCTCTTCCAACTCTTTGATTCTATGATTCTATGACACCCAACGGAAGAAGCCCTCTCTCTTTTGGCAGGCCGACCTTGTCAGTGTCAACTTTAAACTCACACCTAATGCTTACTGGGTTTAAATCTTTGTCCTGTATATTTTAATATATGTCTTCAATCGAAATACTTTTTGATATCTTCATTTTATATAATGTTTTGTGATGAGGCGTGTTCTTTGCTGTGTTTTACCTTGGTATCTATATAAATAAAAATGTAATGTTCGTTTGTGGGATTAACATAACACAAAAACCACTGGACGAATTGACACCAAATTTGGACACAAGACACCTCTCAGGCCAACACGCTTAGACTACTGCAACGCTCTCTACGTGGGGTTGCCCTTGAAGACTGCTCGGAAGCTCCAAATGGTCCAACGTTCGGCAGCCAGGTTGCTAACAGGAGCGGCACTCAGGGAGCACACCACTCCTCTGTTGCGCCAACTCCACTGGCTGCCAATCTGCTACCGGGCACAATTCAAGGTGCTGGCTTTAGCCTATTAAGCCCTAAACGGTTCTGGCCCTACTTACCTCTCCTAACGCATCTCCTCCTATGAACCAACTAGGACATTAAGATCGTCTGGGGAGGCCCTGCTCTCGGTCCCGCCCGTATCGCAAGGTGGCACCCCGGCTGTGGAACGCCCTACCTGTGGACATCAGACAGGCCCCCTCACTGCTGGCATTCCGGAGGAAGGTCAAAACCTGGCCTTATGAACAAGCGTTTGGCTAATTGTGCAAGGAAACACAGTAAGATGGTACAACTGAACATAGGAATTGGTATAAAGGACTATGATTGCGGATTATGATTTTGATTTTCTGCTGAGGCGCACGTTTATGTTAATTGATTGCTTGATTTGATATGTCTTGTATAATGTGTTTTAACTGTTTTTTGATATTGCTGTGTTAACCTTTACTATGTAAACCGCTTTGAGTCACCTTTTTGGCTGAGAAAGGCGGTATAGAAGTAAAGCAAATAAATAAATAATAAATAAACAAGTGACCATCACTCATAAAAACACTGAAAAACACAGCAGAAGAGACTTTAAAAGCCCAAAAACAAACAAAAAAACCATTATAACACATGCTCACAATCACACATATATATGCAAGCACATATACACAAATATATACACACACAAAACACATATACACAGATTGGGCCACAGCAACGAGTGGAAGGAGAAGGCTAGTCTCTCTCTCTCTCTCTCTCTCTCTATATATATATAAATGCTCTGTGCATAATGAGTACCTTAAAAACAAAACAACCAATGAATGAAATCACACCAAATTTGGCAACAAAACGTCTCACATCACTCAAAAAATGATGATTTTGTCATTTGGGAGTTGTAGTTGCTGGGAT